TCACCAATAAAACCATGCCTGTTTCTCACTCTGGCCATTTTTCCTGGTACGGCCGTGTTATCTGCTTCCTTATGTCTAAGGTGCGCACGTTTGAAAGATATGGTGGACAACTGATTTATTCAGAAGCCACCAAATATGCTGGACCTCATAAAGTACTGTGGTCCTGCTGTCATCTGTTAAAATGGCTAATTTTACTGTGATTGTCCTGGAATGTAAAGATAAATCCTAGTTTCTTTCTCTACTCCAAACCATCATCTTAAACCACTCTCCACTGGCCCCCCTCCAATCTCACCTCCAACAAGATGCACGAGGTACTCATGGACTTCTTTGTCACTGACTTTGAACGATATCACTGTTCCTTTGCTGTTGCTGGGTCAAAATCTCCACCTTCCTTACTAATAGCATTGAAGGTGTGTTTACACCAAATGGACTGCTGCAGTTTGAATTGCCAGCTTATCACCACCTTCCCAGGGCAACTAGGAATGGGCAATAAGTGCATTGCTTAACCAGTGACACCCATATCAGACAACTGAAAATAGAACTACATAGAGACCAACTGATTAACCGCCTCTGCCAAATTACTCCTTACCACTAGCCCTCTGATACAAAGTTCCTCCAAATCTTCCAACGTCCTAGACATGGATCTTTCTCTGGATTCTTTCCTACCTCTCTGCATGCCCATTCTGAGCTTGTTTTGTCCGTTGGATCCATCAACTGCTTCCTTGATCTTTCCCACCAAATGCTGACCATCCACTGACGCCTCCTAGTTTCCCATGTTGGCCCATATTGTTAACTATTCTCTTTTCAGCTACTGTCCCCCTCTCCTTTAAATCTCTTGTCATTACCCCACCCCTCAAATAAAAAAAACCATACTAGACCCCATTGTCCTTAACAGCAATCACATTGCCAATTTTTACTCTCCAATATGTTTCTACCTCCCAAATCTGTTCACATCTTCCCAGGAGCTCCTTGGAATTCATAACACCACACCAGATCCACTCTTATCATTGTTACAGATGACATCCTATGTGGCTGTGATGAAGGTAAACTTTCTACCCTATCCTCCTTCCTCAGTCTGCAACCATCAACGCAGTTGGATACACTATCTTCCTCTAACACCTCTTCACTGTTGACCAGCTGGAATGCACTGGTCATTCCTGGTTCCACTCTTATCCATCTCTACACATCCAGTATCACTTACAGTAGCTTTTCCTCCTGTTCCCAACATCATTGCCTCCAGTGTACCCAATGACCTAACTAACTTTCCTTCCTATTTCTCATCTACATGCTGTCCTTGGCAACATCACTTGAAAGCACAGTGTTGGTTTTTACAATGATGATAGTCAGGTCTATCTGGCCATCACCTTTCCTGACTCCTACACTGTTACTAAATTATTGGACTGTTTATTTGACATCCTACGCTGGATTAGCAGAAATTTCCTCCAATTAATTATTGGGAAGACTGAACCCGGTTCCAAACTCCATTCCTGAGCTCCTGATTCCACTTATCTCCTTGGCAACATTCTGAGTTTAAACCAGTCTATTCTCCACTTTAATATCCGATTTAGCCTCAGTGAGGTTCTGGACATGTATTTGTGTCATCAAGTGTGCATGCTTCCAGTTCTGTGACATCACCAGACATTACCCAATCCCAGCGAATCTGCTGCTGAAACTTAGATTTATGCCTGAATTACCTCAAGGTGTGACTATTCCAACAAACTCCTAGCTGACTTCTAAATGTTGTATAAACTTTAATTTATCCAAAGCTGTGCTGCTTATGTCTTAGTCTGCAGTCTGTGCTTGCTGACTTCCCTTTAGTTCCGATTAGCAGTGCTTTGATTTTAAGATTTTTCTCCCTGGTTTCAAATGCCTCCACGTCTTCATCACCACTCCCTATCTCTGTCAACCTCTTTGACCTCACAACCCACTGAGTCATCTGTGCTCCTCTAATTCTGGTCATTGAAGTGTCCTGATGTTGGATGGTAGCCTTGGACGTGGCCAATTAGGAGGCAGGGCTCCCAGAAGATTGTGCCAATTGGTGAGTTTACCAGCAAGTGAAGGGCTAGAAATTGGACTGGCTTGGCACACTATTATTACCAAAGGGCATAAAGTTCTGGCCAAAGGGTAGATATTTTCTTTTCCAGGACTGAATGCTAATGGAATAACTTAGCACTTTCAGGTTTAGATTCTGCCGACATCATTAGTTTTCTACAATAATTTCCCTTTCCCATCCCTCAGTTTTACTTAGCTCCTGATTCTTCCAATTCAGGGTTACTTGGGATTCAGGGTTACTCGAAATTCACTCCTTTATCCTGTGCTCCGAATTGGTTTATGGTGTGTTTATGATCATGCAGTGAATTTAAATATGTAAGAATGTTGTAGTGAAGCATTAAATCTGTTCTGTCAAGTTTCCAACTATTTTTCCCTTTGCTTCTACTTTTAGGAAACAGATTGCCTATTTCCCTTCCCTCCCTGACCCAGCTAACAGAAACGTCCCATGGCAGCCACATATCTTGTAAGACAATGGTTTGTGCTGTGGTGATTACTGAAATCTTATGACTGTTCTGTGAGAAAGGACTCATTCTTCCTTTGCTCCCTTATCTGGTCCACTATAATCTCTATCTCTGGGAGCCCATTTCAGGGTCCAGCCTATGCTGCTTGTGCCAAGACCCCAGGGAGTCAGAAAGCACTCACTTGTCCACAATGTACTTGATATTCTCATACACAGTGTGGTCATTGCGCCCTATGTACGGCAGGATGTGAAAGGCCACCTAGAAACAAAAAATATAATAGTGCAAACAATTCAATTGGTAAAAGGGCACATAGTTACTTTAGATTGAAAACAAAATTAATGAGATACTTAGGGCAAGTATAATATCGGCGATATTAAGAGGATAGTAATTAACATTTCCATTTCAGAATAGTTTGAATGGAACAAACTAAGGCTGCCATGATCTCAAACAATCTTCATTTTGGTAAGAAGTAATAAAAGTAAGAAATTCTGAAAATACATAGCAAGTCAGTTAGCATTTCTAGAGACCAAAACAGAGTTAATGTTTCACATTAATTATCTTTCATCACATTGGTTTCCAGATCTGAGAATTTCTTGCTTATTCTGTTTTGTATTTCAGGTTTTCAGCATCTGCAGGATTTTGCTTTTATTCCCTACAGTGTATGCATGTGTTCCTCTGTCAGCTGTGTTGCAAGTAATCTAACAAGTTTTAGATTTATCTATACCGGCTTAGTAACACATATAGGTGTGTGTGTCACAAGTGTCTCTGCTGGCTAACTAGATTCATCCCTCTGTGCTGACTTGAGCTTATTTTAGCCAGTCTGGAATCCGCTCTCTAACTTACACTAACAACACTCCAGAGAAGGGAAGCAACTGGCCCACATCCATTGTCTAGTATCAGAAGTTTAATCAAGAACACACACCAAATCGTAGCTATTTTGGTTGAACTATTTTTCCGTTTTTTTTCAATAAGTAAAGTTACCATTTACCATCCAGCCCTGGCTGGCCTTGAAAATGTAGTGGTGTATCACCTTCTGAAATTGCCGCATTTTATTTGGTAAAGATACTCCATCAGCACCAATAGGTCAGAAGTTCACAGATTCTGATCCAGCAACGGTGCAAGAATGGCATTTATATGTCCAAGTCAGGTTGGTCTGAGACATGGGGAGTTTGCAAATGACACAAGATCCCGTGTGCCTGCTGCCCTTGTTCTTTTAGGTAGTAGGGGGTTGTTGAGATGCCGTCATTGAACTGCTGCACTGTATCTTATAGATGGTACAAATTGCAGCCACTGTATTTTGGTTGTGGAAGGAGTACATGTTTAAGGCAGTGGATGGGGGTCTGTCAGTCAAGTGGAAAGCTTTGTCTTGGACAGTCTTGTTTTGTTGGAGCTATGCTCATCCAGACAAATAACTTAAGCCTATCCTGATAGGCTCAGGGCTTCTAGCTAGATAGCATTCTTGGGATCTCCCTTTGATTTTCTTTTTAAGATTTCTATTTCTTCCACCAAATGAGGGCAGTGAAGAGAGGGAGGTTGCAAAAGAGAAAACACAATTCTAGCTGTGTCTGTATGAAGACTGGGGGAACCACTGGGCAATGGTGTTTGACAAGATTATGGTGCAAGTTCCAAGTTTGATAGTACAACGGTGCAGTCAACTACTAGTGACTGCATGCCCAGTCACAAATTAGGAACAAAAACAGAAGTTGCTGGAAAAGCTCAACAGGTTAGGCAGCAGCTGTGAAGAAAAATCAGTGTTAACGTTTCAGGTCTGCTGACCTTTCCTCAGAACTGATGGTAGCTAGGACAGTGTTGGTTTATGTGCAGAGGATAGGGTGGGGGGAGGGGGTAAGGAGTAAACAATAGGTGGGATTAGAGCCCAAAGAGAGAGAAGAACAGTTGGACAGCCAAAGGAGTGGATAACGATCTGGCTAGGAGAGCTGTTAATGGAGACTATTAATGGCTAGCAATAGGTTGTGTGTAATGGCAGGCTATGTGATAACAATAAATCAGGAAGTGGCAGTCTGAAATAGAGACAGTCCCGAAAGCAGATGGCAGCAAAATCAGACCTGATAAGGTGTGAAATGACTTAAATCTTTTTTATCTTTCATTCCCTCCATATTCTGAGGTATTTGAAATTCTTGAGTTATTTTGAATTTGGGCAGTGGTGTATATCTAATCACCCCTTGTCCAATTTTCATCCCCATTGGAAAAAGGACAAACATAGCTGATGCCAAAGGAAAAGACCATCTAGTCCGTTAAACCAGCTCTGAGTGGTGAATGGCATCTCATGACCTGAGCCTATCTGTCCACTACAATCATGTAATCTCTAAGAACAGTCAAGCCAAACAAAAAAAGAAAAAAATGCTCCAGGGAATAAATATCTGGAAAACCCCCTCTGACCTACTGAGCTGATCAAACCAGTGCAGGAGATCACATGTGACTGGTGCAGTATAAGAGGTGACTCAATCGCTGTTGCTCATTTATCATTCAAACCACCATCTCCCGTCACTGTTCCAGATTGAGTGGTGTTTAATGCTATGCAAAGGTCCTGACCCTTCACATAGGTTACCAGGTAGGAAGAGAGGAAATTTCCAAAACACTGATCACCTCACATTGTATCCTCACCTACTCATGAGGCTAAGAGATCATGTTTCCAAACAAACTGGGTGACTGCAATCTGACTTGTCCATTGTGATAATTTGAGTGTTAGAGGCAGTAATTGTGAGGTTGTTTCTGTGTTCCGTTTTGGGATTTCTTTAGTCAACCTGTATCTCTCGAGCCCAATGCTGCCTTGGAACACATTTCACAAAACAAAATTACCTTGCAACTTTAAGATGGAATAACTCTTAACCATACAGTACTGTATCTAAATATATAATTGTTTGATTTCCTTCTGCCCTTGATGTGCATAATTTTCATCTTTTTTTAAACTATTGATTAGAATGAGAACATGTCAGCATTTATGTACAGAGATAACAAGGTGTAGAGCTGGATGAACACAGCAGGCCAAGCAGCATCAGAGGAGCAGGAAGGCTGACGTTTCGGGCCTAGACCCTTCTTCAGAAAAGCATTTATGTACACTTTAGTTTATGTATATTGATCAATAAGTCCTTGTAATACACTAGGTGTGCAGAAAGGCAAGATTGAAAGACCTAAAGATTGGAAACTAGTTGGTGTGCTGAGCTGGAACATTATCCTTTCAATTCTGGGACCAGGGCTGAAACAAGTCCAGATCAATGAGGTATTGACTGTTGCCTCTGCTGCTGTGAGAATGGTAAATAATTCTGCAGTGATCCAAACCTTGTTTTCTTTTCAAGCCAGTGTTCATTGTGCAAAATTGCCTGCAGACTGGCATTGCGAAATTTTCTTGGAAACAGATGGTAAGGTTAGCTAGTGGAGGAAACAAAAGTGGCAGTTGTATGATGGCTGTAAGGTGGGGATTCAGGTAGTGTTTGAAGTTGATCTGGTAAACTGAACAAAAATTTATTGATTTGGGGGGGGGGAAGAAAAGCTTAACCAAAATAGCTGCCATTTGGCGCATGTTCTTCATGAAAAATCTAATTTGGGCCAAATTTGGCAAGGGATTCATTCAACTAATCTGAACCAGTCCTAGTTTACGGTCACCAAAATGTTGGACAAACTCAGCAGGTCTGGCAGCATCTATAGAGAGAGAAAGTGTTATCGTTTCCAGTCCATGACTCTTCGACAGAACTTTCGTCAGTGACGAAAGGTCATTGAACTCAAAACATTAGGCTGTTTCTCTCTTTGATAGATGTTGCTAGGCCTGCTGAGTTTCTCCAGCACCTTTTTTTTTGTTTCTATCTTCCAGCATCCACAGTTCTTTGCTTTATTCCAGTTTAAGGTTATTTGAGTTGTATCTTTCAGTCTTTTACATTGTCATAACTAGCTTCACTCTGCCTCTAACCTGATATTGGCGCAAAAAGGGATATTGCTGGTCTTAACTGACCCCATTGAAACAAAGGATGCTCAGAATGTGACCTGTATGCTATCGCAGTGCTCAAGCGCTTACACTTGGGTTGAGTGTCGTTACTTGTGAATTCTCCAGTTGCTGTTATTATTTTCCCTTTTTAGATAGAGACCACCAAGGCTAAAAGGAACCATGTAACTCAGTTTCTCCTTAGTGAGTGACTAGACAGGAGAAAATTTTATGAAGGAAGTGTGGAGAGGGGACCAAGATCATAACTTTGAGAAAGAAGGATAACATTAGAGCTGCTTCATGGGCCTAATGTCTGAGGGACAGCACTGGCAGAAAGTCAGGTCCAATTCAATTTGCTGCCAGTATTCTTAACTCAGACATGTTCGTAATATGGCCTACCAAGGTAATAATCCAGCTGTAAATCCTTCCAAGACACCCACAAAAGGCAGTAAGAGTGGAAAGATCTCCTGGTTGATGTGGGGTAGCACCCCTCCAGCTGTACCCTTTGTCCTCAGGCTAGTGACCTGTTCCAGCAAACGTAGCCATGGAAATGGACATAAGCACATGCTCTGCCCACATCATATATGACTAGGCACAGGAAAGAAAATAAAAAGGAAGATTCCCTGAGAGATATATTATCATATCAACTCAGCTGGCATCCCTTCAGTTCCCCATCAAAGGCACAGTATTGGTTTTCTGGTGTGTAACGTTCTTGGGATCTCACTCCTGGAGTGGTGTTCAACAGGTTTCTGAAAGCAGTGCTTTTTATAAATGATTTCTGCACTCTGGGGAGTCTTCAATATTACCCACCTCCACAACTGATCGAGGTAGAACCTTGACAATGGGCCAATCCAACATTAATTTACGACGCCACTTTAATTACAGCCTTAATGACTCATTATATTCTACAATCTTATTAACGGCACAGTAAAAAGTCAATTAAAACCAAGAATCTTATTCTTCTCAGACCTGAGGCGGATTTAAAATTGTCCCCATTGACAGTTGGTCTGGCAGAATGATTTTCTGAGAGTTTACTGCAAACAATTTTTGGAATGAGCCACAATGTGTACAGACAGGAGTTTTTTTTTAAAGCAGATATTCTCCACAGTGGATGCCATGTGTTCATTTAAAATAAAAACTATTGATTTGTTTTTTTCTTGGATATCTCTGCTCAAGCATTGTCCAGTCCTAGGTAATGGCAAATTCTTCTCAGGCTCAGTATTCCTGTTATTCCAAAGCACTGTGCTGACTGGGTGCAATTACAACCAATTATTAGCAGTGACTTAGGGTTAGCTCTTTTCTCTAAGTCAGAAGGTTATGG